CATATAGAGAGTTCGCTTGTACATGAGTACATCTATACAATTTTTGTATGGTTAATCTATAACGATTTCTTTATCGGCAACGGCCATTTATTATTGTTATGACATCTTTATGGGCATGGGAAACACAGGACTGTAGAATACTTGTAGCTGAGTACAAACTGAATATAATATCATGACAAACAATAAGTACATGCTATAAATTTTATTGAAAGCTAACTGTTCTTTAATTAATAATTCATTTCGTTACTTTTCTTGAAATCCATACTGTACGTACTTTTGTATACCACTTTCCAAACGTCGCTGGCTAGCTAATTGGGGTTGTTATCAATCAGCTTTATCGGCCGCCGGAAGCGTACATCGTCATATATCAACAATTGGAGAAATAAGTAAGTCGGCCGACTTATTTGCTTTTGCCGGCGGCACGTACGTCATCATATTCCTCGGAGGAGAAAGCTGCAAATTGAATGAAGTGGAAAGGAAATTAAAAGCCAAATTGAGAAACCGAGTTGGTCATCAAATGGTAAACTTATAAGGACAACTATTTAGTTTTTTTTTTCTTTCCCTTATAAAAAAAACTATTATTCATAAAAAAAAACTATTTAGTTTTTTTATACAAATGAAAAGTATTTGTAAAAAATTGACAACTACTTACAGAAAAATCTTTACCTGTATATGTATAAGAAGATAAAAAAAAAAGTAGTTTGTTTCTTTATTTTACGTGAAAATTTGGGGTTTTCAGGTTAAAACTAGACTTCAATTATCATATTTATTTTAAATGTTATCATCTGTGTTTGTTTAATATGATGATATAACTTGAAAAGTTACTGACAACTACTCCATGCATTTTCTACTACTCATAATTTGATCTTATATTAATGGTTGATTAATAAGACAAACTTCTAAAGGGTTGATCTCGTAGAATCCGGTTCATGATTTTCTTGTTGAAGGAAGGGCATGTACGAAAGAAATCGGATTGATTTGTTGATCAAAAGTACCAAGCAAAATTATCGGTTCTATTCCTCTTTCACTATCCATTCTCATAGGTATATATCGACATTTGCTTAATATGATGATGTAACTTAGAAAACTAATAACCACTTGTACTTTTTTACTCATAGTTTTGTCTTATGATGGTTGACTAGTACGGAAGCCCGCGCTTCGCGGCGGGAGGATTAGAGTGTTTGATCTTCGAATTCATAAGTGAGGGGGGAAATATGAAAATAGAGTTATTATAATGCAATCAAACAATCATGATTTGTCAATAATCATGAAACAAATACTAATGAGCTTGTCAAATGAATACTTAACCTGACAACTGATATCGTAATCAACTCAACACCTCAGGTGTGGAAGGCAATGAATCCTACAATTTCTTTGCTTACATGTTCAATGCATAGAAAACAAATGCTGCACCGAAATGAGCATTCGGTTCTTGAATTTCTGAATAAATATTAACACAGATGCCACCCTGTGCAATAACAATAGAAAAGGTCAACTGGAGCTAAACATAACTACACTTTGAAGTTGTCAAGCTAATAGCACGACTGTAGCTTGTGCAAAGGGAAATCAGGGTGGCTCCCATCAGGCTACATTGAGAGGCGCTAGCGTATTCCTGCTGCTAAGTAAAGCTTTATTAAAGTCGGACTTCCCTTTCTGTTCTCCTGTACCACAGTTGGTGCAGCCTGTCTGAAGACAAAAACCAATTCTCAAAGAACTAATAAAAACTGTGTCAAAAATTATGCATCCTTGAAATATTTCAATAGACTATTTTAATCTGTATGATAACTTTATGTTGGTATTCAACTACATATACAACTGACAACTAAAAAGGTCACACCCTCCTATTATGTTAAAGGAAAATTTTGAAACATGAAGACGAAACCAAAAGGGAATATGGTGGAGTAAAGAACTAAGAACGGGAGGCTCGTAAGCAGGCAAGGCAAAACGAACTGTTGAACACAACAATATAGAAGGAACATATTCAAAACTGGTAGAAATTAATAAACCGACCACTCAATGATAAGACTTTCTGTCAATTTGTAACATGAGTGGCTGCATTAGATATTGGGCACAACTGAGCAAGGCAAAGATGAAGACTCACCAACTCTGCTCCAGGCTCCAGCGGACCAAAAAACTGCAAGAATAGCCCGTTCAAATAAATCATATCAAATGGTAAATACAATAGAACACCATGATCAATATTTTTATTAGAATGTTTCAACTCTAACCATCATATTCATCATAATAATAATGATAATAATTAACTAAGTGTCCTTAATTAATTGACTTCCAGAAGAGTTTAATTGTCCGTTATGGCGCTCCAAATCTCATCGTGATGAAGCAGCATGGAACACACACGCACTTTCCTGAGAAAGGATCATTACCAATGTTTCTAACGCGAAAGACCTTCAAGCACTATTGCACAACCCAATATAAGTAGACGACTCTATAGTAGAATTGACTTAAGAAGAAAGGCCAGCAAGCAGTACAGCAGGAAAATTCCCAGTAAATTAATTCATCTTTGCCAACTTCAAGAGCACAATAACCCACAAGCCATAGAGGAACTACATAGTGCAAAATACAGTGCATACATGGCCCTATTATGTTAATTAAGTTCTATACCATAACGCGTGTCTGTCTATGTATTTTGGATATAATCTGTCTAACCAAATTAGCTTGATTCCAGACGAAGAAAGCACAAATTTGTGTTGCTCTATGCTTCTATCTCTGGAATTGTACATCTGTAGGCAACAACTGCAATTCACGGGCAAGAGCGAGTTGAGAAGAAACAAAGAAAACATAGACAACTTAGAACATTCATGTAATTCACCTGAAAAAGAACATTCAAACAGTTTGATCGGCAAAGGTCCGCTCACTATAAAGTGTGTTTCAAAAACAAAAGGTATCCAGTCAACCAGAAGGAAAATAAGAGCTAATTGCTGGCAAAAACCAAATTGTACTGTGAAATGCAAAGGGTTACCATAGTATGTGAAATGCAAAAGCGGCACCATGACATGGGAAAACCTACGCTCTAGACAAACTCAATGAGATTCTTTCTGAAAGAAACTTGAAACAGCAGAGCACATGCTGGAAAAAAGATAACTCATACGCCTCAACCTCAACAGTAAACAACAGTATTGATGACCAAAATCCTGAACCAATAATCATTGGGTACATGAGAAAGTAGGCTTACAAATGCAGTCATATTACAAAGAATTAAATGGCAACAAAACTATAAACACTTGGTTTCAAGCCACTATGAATTCAAATTGTAAAATCTCTAAAGGGAAAGAAGGGTGACAGGTTAATCACCTATAGAACACTACATTAGAGACATTCAAACCGTGCTATTGACTACAGGGTCTATAAGTTTCTCAAGTTTTCTGGTTCTATGCCAAAAGAATGAATAGGTAAGAGCTAACCTTTGTATCTTCTAGTAGAAATGGAAGAAAGAGAATCAATGACTGATGGCAACGGTTCGGTCAACCTAAGGTGAGTAGGTCTTAGGAGTTGCATAAAAGCACCTCATCATGGGAGTGAGGAGTCAGCTAAAGATTTGCCCTTTCTTCACAGATTGAAAGATAGGCAAGGACCTGATATTAGGAGAATCCCAATAAACTTGATGTAAGGAATAGGTAAGATAGCAAGATAATTCGGGTAAAAAGCATCCGGAAAGAGTAAAAGAAGGGTAAGGAGAATCGTGAAAAGTAAGCTATAGATAATACAAAACTAACATGATTGAGAAGAACACAAGCATTCAAATCCGAATTCACTTATGGGAAAAGATAGTAGTTTCTATTTATAGGTCAGTGCTTCTCGGTTTGTGTCTTTAGTGACACAGAATGATGGGGCGGCAACGGACAATCGTAACTACAGAAAATGATCCCTAAAACAACTTATAAACCTTCATTCTCAATTGGATGTCAATAAATAAAGGAAAGAGTCGGAAGTGATAAGAAATGAACTTACAGAGGAAGGTCATAGATCAGTAGAACTGAATTTCCGAGCCATTACGGGTCGAGTCTGAGATGACAAAAGATGGATCATTACAGCAGATGGCAACCTTAGTCAAACTCAAGTAGTCCATGTATACATTAAAACAAAAATGAGCAATCAAGCAGGCAGTTCCAATTCAACCACCGAAGTAAAAATAAATTAAAAACTCCCAAGTACGTCCATCATGTCTTCCTAGGCCAGAGATTTGAGGAGTCAACTGAGGGTTAAAGGAATAAAGGGAAATAAAAACACTAATCAGTTGTCTGTAAAGAGGACACTAAAAAGGGTTGTATCAACTGATTGGATAATGCCAAAACCACATCAGAACATAACCAATGGAAAACAAATAAAAGGATTGAGCTTCCTAAACCCCTCAGCACTGTATCCCATCTTATAGCCCATAGAGACAAATTAGTAAAAAGCTCAGAGAGACAACCCTAGAAGAAATTGCATCCGATAATCCAACGGTTAGAGAGTACACATAATATGGTTGACAGAGACATAATCACACGGGCTATCAGAGACTACACAGAATATGGTGAGGAAAGCGTAAAAAAGCCAAAAATAGAACTCAACAATTGCATCAACAGACATTAAAGGAACTCCAAAGAAATCCAAGCCCAGGTAGTATATGGTACAACAGGAAGCTCTTCTCTTGTGAGTGTATTAGGTACTTGTTTTATGGTTACTTATCCTTTTTCAAAGTATGAAAACAATTTTTTAGGAAGAAATGAGGAGTTCGTCTGATCATCCCTAATCATCAAAGTTCAATTGGCTTTTCCCCTCAAAATCAACAACTCAGAAATCATATCCAAATGAGGGCTTTGAAGCATAACCTCAAAAATTGGGAGCTAATCAAACGCCATAATGAGGAAATCAACCAAATTACTAAACCAAATGCAGTCTAACCATGACCCTAGAAAATAAATCTCAAAGAATCAAATGGTAGAATGAAGTAAATAGGCAGAGCATAAAACCAAATGAAAGAAGTAGAGATGCTCACCAGGATCAAGTGAAGGCAAATCAATTTTCCAAGGTCTTAATTCCTGAGACGTCCAAGACAGGAATCAAATACTATTTCCTCCAGGGCAAAGAAAAGTAGATAAGGCCACACCAATTATTTCTTATATCCATACACAAACCTCCAAAATTTTAAACCGAAAAAGGCATCATCATGAAGAAAGGAATATATAACCAAGAGCAAAGAAGCGCACTTTTATGGATAAGTTAGCAAAGATTCGAACTTTCAAAGACCTACATGGTACATATGCAATTGACATAAGTAGCAGTGAAGTGCATAGATATTATAGCAGGAGTCAAGTGCCGTAAATAGAAGTTTGAGAACCGAAAATCACACCAACTGTCCTACCAGCAATTGGGATGTCGTACATTCACATCAAGCTTGGAAGGAAAAAGACAACATCATAAAGTGCACGAACTGAAAAGAGTTTTTCGAATTTGCAGGACCCTGATAGAATTTATAGCAGTTGGGTTACAGAGCAATAAGCCAATAACACATTCAACAACTACAGATCCTAACTGCATTCGTTTCAGCCTATAAAAAGAATGTACCTAACCTTCAAGAGTGCAAAATCTGCTATGAAGTGGCCGGTGAAACAGTCGTCGCCACTCCTAGTAGAGAACAAACAAACGATCTAAACAAATATCCAAGTAAACATGAACCTTAGAAAGGAATCAGATCAAGAGAGGTAGCTCACCACCACAGTAGGTTCCGCCTGTTGCTTCGCAAGCTCAACGGGCAATAAAGTTTCCTAAGAATTTGAGATCAATTTCTTTGCCACAAAACTCGCCGTCCGAACCTCCTTTGAAAGCAGACGAACAAACCCCCTGACAAAAGAAAGAATGGAAACGAAACCATCAAGAAAAGAGAGTAAACAAACTAATCACAGAGAGAGAACAATCACTTGAAATCTAAAAGCGTCGTGGAAACTGGAGATTAGTTTCTTCTCCACACTGCCACTGAACCTCACAAATCCGGCATTTGTGATTAAAATAGGCACCCATCTCGAAGGAAGAGAACATAAACACTCATACAAAATCAGAAAGAGAGAGTGGAAATGAGAATAAAAACGAAATTGGAATTCTTCTCCACGCCATAACTGAAATTCTGAAATGAAACACCAGCAGAGTCCATAGCTAAAGGAAAGGAGAGTGAATTTGAACACATAGAATTGTCAGGCCACCTAACTGTTGGTTTGAGGAGTAAATCATTTTGAAAACATACCAATTAGTTAATGGCTGCAAACACCCTTTATAAATTACATATAAGGTACATGAAAACAATAAAATTAACACAATTGAATATATGAATTATTTACTAACTCAACAACTCTTTGGGAATTGAGAGCAGGCAATCTGGCATTTATCGCTTGATTAAACTTCACCAATTATCTAGTAACTATGGTAAATTTATTCATTTTTTTCCACATGGTTGCTTGCTAAAGATCATTCAAATTATTTCACATCATGAAAACTTAAAACTGGGTTTGTAGGAACCAAAGTTTCAGACCGTTATAGGAAAACAAATACCTGGCTGTAACATGACCTTCTCCTCCTCATCCTAGAATAACAATATTCAACTCTAGTCCTCTCAATTGCATATGCAATTCATTCCCTATTTGTACAGCAAAGCTCTGGCAAAAAGGGGGGAAAAGAACCGAGACCACATTAGAGAACAGAACATGTAAAGGGAATAAAAGAAGAAGTTACAGAAGAACAAACCTCAATTAATCATAATGAAGCAACGCACACGCAAGTTGAGTTGTGCATCGCTATACCTCCTAATCCACAGTTCCATGTACCCTTGGTGCCACATCAGAACAGACCGGCTACAAACTGTAGAGCAAAGCATATGGGCAACCATAAAACTATAGGCACAAACAAAACCAAACCATAAAATCTATAATGTTAGGGACCATTATAAACCACAAATGACATCCTACTATGCAGATTGCAGGCGGTGAAAGTAGCAAATGAGTAAGTAAAATGAAATCCTTACAATGGGTAAAAGCCTAAGTCAGTTGAGCCAAGATAAAAATATCCCAGTCAATAGTCATGTGAATGCAGAGGCAAGCTATGTAATTTTTACTCTGGCTAGACGTTGTTTCCTTCTATACTTTCGACTGAAATTGTACTGTTTTAATGTTCATTGTAAGAGGAAGTTGTGTTAGGCTGCATGAACTCCAGAAAAAGCTAAATGAATTTTCTATTAACCTCACTGGCTCTATTTTCGTCATATAACATTTTAAGTATTGTCGTTTGACACTCGGATGTTTGACTCACAGAACTACCATGTAAGCTGGCTTGAATGAGAATTCAATTAAACTTTAAATTGTGAAGATGACATAGACAACCAATTTAGTGGGTTGGGATTCTAACAGTATTTACTTTCAGGATTTTGTCAAAAACTACAATATCCGCGAAACAAATTGTAAAATCAAAAATGGATCCCATTCACCAGGTACTTACATTGCATGTACGTTAAACAGAGGACGGCTTTCGTTGTCACCTATTCCATCCAGCAACATCACATCTTCAAGAATCCTGTAATTAAGTGAAAACAATAACACTTAATTAAAGGCTTATGTTATTTATGCATGACTGACAAAATTTGTCAAGGGAAGCTAGCCCATTTGGGACTAAATACAACATATCAGAAAAGGAAATACCTTGCATTGGTGATAGAAGGACCAAGTGGTGGCTTCTAGTTCTTCGAAAGCTTCTGAATAAACACTGTTGCAAGTGTGGTTTCCAACACTTTCTTCGCTCAGTTTCAAAAACTGCAGCCTTCAGTTGATTGACACACGAGATCAAAACATATAACTGGCAATGATTGAAAACAGGTTCAGGCTACAAAAATGGCAACATGGTGCAGTGTCTGACTCTGACTCAATACCAGCGGCGCTTGTTCACGAGTAATAAATAAACAGTACGCGGAAGATAAAAAACATACAAAAACCAACAACAACATCATTAATCACAACCCAGCATTATTCAATTGTTGAGTGAGCTAATTATTTGGATTTCAGTGGGAGTATTACTGGTGCAGACATGGGACCTAAAAAAGGATATTGAAGGTAAACTTCAATCCATTGGTTTGAGCTGCGTTAGTTGGTGAAGTGCATTGACTTGTACGAAATAGGCAATGTAGAATCATGTCTCGTGCTTTGACGAAAAAAGGAAAATATCACACCGACAACAATAATTTTCACTGGATTCTAAAAGGAATCCAATAATAATACTCTAACCATAACTATTCATGAAAATCAAAAGTATCAGAAAAGCACAGAAGAAAATACCTGAACAACATAGTCATCTCCACCACTCTATACGCCTGGATGCATCCAGCAAGTGACCATTGAGATGGCTCAGCAACAGAAGCATAAAGCACCCTCTTATACTTGTTTAATTCTCATCTTAAAACCAGCAAAACAGCCGTACAAAAATCACACAGGCATTACTCGGATTGATGCATATCACGAAGGGTTAGAAGGGGGTCTAAGGAATAGGCTAGTGACGGTTTGACCCCAATCCAAACTGCAATTGTTTGGTAGTGATGGCCTGAACAGAACCCCCACTGACCAACAACCCACCACGACGATGCATCCTCTCAAGAGGCATTACGATGAAGCGCTTCCCTGGAAAAAGCAGAAACCCATTTCAAATGTATCATCAACTCATAAAATGTCTTGAGTAATCAAATCGAAGAAACCTAACAGTTCTGTGTTCATGCAGTGGAAAATGGCACTAAGTGAAGAATCCAACACAAAGGCTGAACGTTCCACAACAACGGTGGAGCTAGAGTAGTGAGACCATGGATAGGCGTTGTAGAATGACAAAGGGGATACCTCAACATCAATCTGCCAAACAGAGAACCCTAAAAGGAGTTTAATTGGGATTCCTAGTGTTCCAGCAATGACAAAGACTGACTGTTGGTTTTTTGCTGCATCCTATGAGAGAGTTTTAATCTGGAAATCAGAATTACAACGTGGAAATAAGAAAGATAGACCCAAATAAAAGAAAACCAACAATCCCCAAATCAGCAATAACAATACCATGATGAAACTGGAAAGGTAGAGAGGAGCTAGTGACCTGTCATCATTGGGGAGGTTCCTTCCATTGCCTTCATGGATTGACCACCAGAAAAGAGATCGGATTTGTGGCAAAAAAACATATAAAGATGGGAGCTATGTGGCAAGCGAATCTGAAAAAAGAAAGAGATAACCTGGGAAAGAAGAATAAAAGGTTAGATTCAAGAGAAGAAGGGACAGGAACTGAAGCCGGCAGGAGCGAGTTGGAGATCATTCCGGAAGCTGGTTCTTCTTCTTCTTCATGAGATGGAGAGAGAAATGGCGATGGCGACTTCTTCTCACTTTTCCCTTGGCGGAAATCAAATCAAAACAAAAACATATAGAAACCAGATCAAAGAAAGGAAGAGACCCAGAATATAAACAGAACAAAATCCAAAAAGCAGAGGCTTACCAGATCAATATTGTCATCGGGCATACATAATCGTCTATAAATAGTTTTTTCCTTGCCGAGATGAACTTCCGTGGATGAGTTTTACTATTCTATCTTCTTCCGGCAGCTATGATCTTAGTATAACATGCATGTACAGACAAAAAACAGTGAAATTTTCTAAGGTTAAAGAGAAACTGATTTCTTTATTATGAGATCCTACATTTGACTCCCACCTATTCGACAGTCAATGGGTCACCAATTGTTGTCTGAGAAACTAAATCTTCTCACCAATCAGGAAGAGTAAATCCTAGAATGAAATAGGAAAAATTCTGTGGTAGCGGGATTGAATACAGCGAAAGAAAAAAAAAAGAGTAGATGAAAGAGGAAGAGATATAAAGCAGAGAACTAACTTGCACGAATCAAAATAGTTGTTGTCAATCATTGCTTGAGATAAAGAGCAGCCGTTGGAAGGCAACTGGCAAACTGTGGATCCATCCCCATATCAGGGTCAGCATCATGCTTGTTAAAAATGATATACAATGCAGCAAACTACTCACTGAACCGGCAAGCATTCATCATACATACTTGCTAAGATGGTGAAGAGAAGCTTACCTTGCTAACATCTTCTTGAAACTCCAAGATATCATTACCCAGCCAAGCTCAGAAGGATAGCTTGTAGCTTTGGTAGCTCTAAGCACCAACCACCAGGAGTTCCATGAAGAACTGTATTTCAGAGCACTCAGTGATGACCTATATAGAAAGGAATAAAAACTGAGCAACAACCTTGAGGATTTTAAGTCCAAGAGAAACGATGAAAAAAAAAATTGAACAGCAAGCAAGAGTAAAGTGAGCAAAAAACAAAGCAGGAGTGGTCGGAAAGACGTGAAAGACAAAGAATAAACATTGAACAGAAGTTCAACATGCTTAAGCGGTAAAAAGAACAAACTAAAACTGGAAAACAACCGATTAAAGTCACAATTTATAAGAACACCTGACTAATGGCGGAAAATCCCAACCAACTGTTTGGCGAAGCCCAGCTCTTCAGGCATCGTGTCCATAGTTTGTATTTCGTTACTTTTCTTTTCTGTTTCACTTTTTGGTCCAGAAAACTCATTGTCATATGACGTTTTAGTTGATGATGATACAGGGTTTCATCACCAGTACATACACAAACAATGACAGCAAGAAAGGAGATCAGAGCAGATAGCAATCCCAGGCAACCAAACACGACTGAGGATGGAAAACAAAAAAAGAACAACGCAAAACCACTTTGATTAAAACTACACAGAGGTTAAATAAAGTTAG